CAAAGACACACACGCATGCAATTGATGCAAATAGAGTTGAAGAACAGGGTTTTGTTTTTATCGCCCCATAAAGCTCAGCTGGGGCCTGAGATAGAGGGAAGGAAGACGGGGATCTCCGCTTGTTGGCGAAGTGTGTTCTGTGTAAGATTTCTCTCACACACACCACCACCCAGCACGGCAGGCTAAGGGCAGGAGTATGATTACAGGCCTATTTACATTACAGCATAGAGCAATGGAGAAGGGGGGAGAGAGACTGGCAAGAAAAGGGAAAAAAAGAGGGAGAGGAAGAAGATGGTTTCCAGATGTGAGGTGGAATTCAGAGCAATGTGATTCCCCTCCTCTTCCTCTATACAGGGAGAGATATCTAGATCAGCTTGTGTGCGTTGTGTTGGAGAGAATAGGCGACGCGCAGAAACCACAAACCGGAGGGGAAGGAGAATGCACTGTGCTGAGGGTGAGTGAGGAAGCAGAACCGGAGCCAGCCGAGGGAAAAGGAGTGGTGGAGATGAGGAAGGGGATGGAAAGAATAGAGAAGAGAAGCAAGGCCTCCGGGTTGACCACAAGTCCAGAGATCTAACTTGGGGCATTTCAGCCGAGTGGAGGCTTTTCTGGCATCACGGTAGGTAGGAGGGACAAGCACTGCATGAAAAACCATCAGTCATTTCAGTGAAGACCCCACAGCTGTGCCGAGGGTGGCTCCAGCTTAATGAATGGAGGTGTCCATCACTGATTATATTAAGTTTCATTAAATTAAAAAAGATTTGTTTTATTTTTAGACTCTTGTTTGAAAACATGCTGAACTTATAATTTGCTCACTTCTATCAATGTATTTCATCCCCGATGGATCCAGATGACACATTTTCATATCTCTTAGTTGTTTCTTTGCGAGTCGTCCGTTCTCTCCATCACTGTTTGAGTCTCTCTCTCAGTGGGTCCAGACTCGGGGTCGTTTCAGGAAATACCAGTATCCACTTTTTTCCCCCCCTCTTCCAGGGGAAACTGACCGACATTCCTTGTGCCTCTATAAACAGAAAGCTGTCTGATTCACACATGCTTGTTCACATACGAACATGCACTCGCCATGCCATGATGAGTTGCACTGAGAAATTTGTGTACACAGAGACTCTGGAAACCTACTCAAATGGATGTTATAAATCTCCTTTGGCTGGAGTCTATTTTTCCTCAGAGATTTAGTGAGTTGAGTTCATTTTAAAAGCTGCCTCAGTTGGATGTGTTACTGATACCTGAAAACAGACAGACCCCACATGTAGAGTTAAAGCTGCTCTCATTAATATTTTGGTTTTATGGCCTGTTGATCACTTTAATTGCCTTTATTCCAGTTTTGTTTATATTAATGTAACTTATAGACTTACTGTATACTAATAGTTTAGCACCAGACTTTAAATAAAAACTCAGCAGCTTCATACATCACAAAACCTGAACACGTTATCACTTTCAGGACCTGGTGGAAAACAACACAGAGCTAAAGGAAGAGTGAATATTGGACTTGGATACGTCAAATAGTCAGAGATGCATTTCTAAACAAGAAGCACTCAGAGTGCAAACCTCCAGCAAAGCGCCTCACTCAGGGCAGTATTTACTTTGAAGGGAATAGTATGTATGTATGTTGTATATATTAAGTTTGTTTTCTTTATTCTTCTTAAAGGTACTTTAAGAAGTTTGTAGTGCAGTAAAAATTAGATGAGGGTAACATGACCGATGTCTACTCTGGTTACACATAACAGGTGTTGATTTGTAAATAACTGGACGTGAGTAACCTGAGCTTAGAAATATTATATAGTATTATTATAACTAACAATGCAGCTCTTTCTCTTGATGGTACTTTCTTTAAAAATGTAACACATTGTGGAGTTAACTTGAAAGACAGATTTGAAATGTAAATGACACAATGGCATCATATTTGGATGCAAACTGTAATGTGATAATTAGATAATGTATAAATAATTATGTCTATATGCTGTCGATAAACACAATGGCAGTAAGTAACATAGATTTAAATAGTATTGTTATCACTGACTTTGAAGAAAGGTCGGAGCTCAAATGTGACATGATATTTCAAATCTTTGTGTTACTTTCTATATCTATATTCCATTTGTAAGAATCACAGTTTCTAAGTTAAGGCTTGTGATCAGCTTTCACCCAATAAATCATTAGGTTGAACTTGAAGACCTTGGCGGAGAAAGCTACATTTGAATGGCTCGTTAACACGACCCCACTCTACACCTTGACAAAGTTTTATCAGAATCATTCAAAACTTTTTGACCTATTGTGTTTACAGACTGAATGACACACAGGCAAACGCTGCCAAACTTTAGCGGAGGTCATAAATGCTGATGTTGTTCTGTGACCGCTATAAAACTTCATGGGCCACATACAGCCCACTTTGGACTTAAGTGGGTTGAGTGAAGACATTTAACTCATTCACTGCCATTGACGTCTATAGCCGTCAATGGCAGTGAATGAGTCAATGGGTTTAACTCATTCACTGCCAATGGCTGGCATTGAATGAGTTACCTAAACATTGAATTCCTGAGACGCAAACAACAAATTTCAACAGTAAATCTCAGTTTTTCTGCATGATAAATGTGTAAAATTACAGAAAAAGTCCTGACAGCTCATTGTTCAGACTGTCCTGTATTTGTAAAAGATAATGTTTTTGGTTATTCACAGAATTTTTAATTTCTTTCTAACCACGGACTGACTGTTTTTGCTTTTGTTTGTTCAAAAAGTTTTTAAAAAGGTCTTTATTGGCAGGAAAAGCTGTAAAAGTTTTAAAAATACAGATAAAGATTCACTCGTTTACATTTTCCAAAGCCTTCCAGTGGACCTGATTGAAGTCTTTGTCGGGCCAATTTTGGCCCCTGTACCTTAAGTTTGACATCCTTGGATTACATGACTCATAAAAGCTAAAAGTAATGCACTGGTTGTTCCAACTAGGGCACTATGAAGGTTCAAATCTCAAATTGTTCATTGTTAACTTGGATGATTAGTAGTTTTACGGTTGTTGACACTCAGTATGGACATAATTTGGTTGTTACCCTAAAAATCACAGAGTCCGGCACCCAAGCCTAACGATAGCATCTCTAACCTTTGACCTTTCGGTGGTGCGAGACTCGAGGTACAGTCACGAAAACTGGTGAAAAACACCAGGAGAGTATTACCAATAAGCGTGCTATTTTCTAAACTTTTGCTGTTTAGTTTGAGGGGCTATGAGTATGAATGGCCTGAAAAAGAGACGATGAATAAGAAAACACAGAAACATTGGGGCCCTACACAGCTTGATAGCCTCCTAATTACTACAGTGCTGTCTGTGCAGCGTTTGGTGTATTGCCTAATCAAAATTGTACATCACTTCCTTTCCTGCTGCCTGGCAGCCGAGCACCAACTTAACTTGTCTAATTGGTTTGACCCAGTTTTTTGTGACAGGAAGCAGACTTTAGATTTCTTTAAATTTTGAGCCTTTTCTTTCTATTTCACTACGGAATCATCCAACGGCACTTTAAAGTTCCTCGAAAGACTTAAAATATGAAAAAATGTAGGTGATAGAATTATTGTTCTACAAATTATGTTTTGTACAACAAATGTGTCAGGGAGAGACACGATTAAAAGAAAACGGACTAGAAATGAATAAATGCACAGACTATACCAGGATGGGAAATCCCAAGAGCCTGCTTCAGGCATCAATCTCAACTAAAGCCAATTCAGCAGTGAATTTATTGGTGGAAACGCCGATTAACCCGTAGATTAAATCGGTGGAAATCCTCCGTCTACACAACTTCAGTCCTTGGTAGGACTTTATGCTAGGGGTGTGTACGCATGAGTAAAGACATTTCCCAACAATCCCAGCATGCTAAAACTGATCTGTGTGTTTGTGTATTATTGTGTTGAAATGGAGCTGTTGAGCTCTGGAACTGATACAGCATTGCCACACACACACACAGACAGAGTGACTTTTAAAGCTTTGACATGTCTGAAGTGAATACTGAATCACACAGACAGTATTCAGTCTGGGCATGTTGGGATTGAGAAATCTGTTCCACTAACAGCATTACTATGTCAACACCATGATGATTCATGTGATTTGTGTGTTTGTGTCACTATAAGATCACTAGGATAAAAATGTCTGTAGTGTGACAAAAGCAAGACTTTATACTTTCACTCTTATCACTCCGACAACATTTTTAACTGTTTAAACATGTAAACACATGCTCCGTTACAGATAACGGCATACAGCTCCTAGTTGTTTTGATATATAGTGATCTTCTAATGATCATTTTAAAAAATTGGCCTCTTAGCTAAAATTGACTCAGTGTTGTAGCAGGAAATCTCAGGATCAGCCCCTAGTCACTTCACAGCCACTCACACACAGTGTAAGCGCTCTGAGCTGTAGTGGCTGATAGTGGTTAAGCTTCCTACTTATAGCGATTAGCTGCGACAGGCTGTTGTGCGACCGCTAGGCCTCCTACTGAGATGCAGAGAACATTGGGCTCTGTCCTTTTGTATTTGAAGGACACTGAAATGCTCCACTAATTTTTAAACCCTGACATGTGGTCAAATGCATTGTAACGGAGAGTTTATGGTTTAATTCCAGGTGATGCCAGACTGCTAGCATAACTTAGCATAAAAAATAGAAACAAATAGCTTAGTAAACATACCAGCACTAAAGTAGCCCAGAATATGAAGTCAGGACATCATCATTGTGTGTAAATGACCACAGATGATGTGTTAAACATGGGTGTACCTACTGTGGTGGTACAGTTCTGTTTTGAAGGCTTTTTTAGGATTAGCAATGTCTCTGTGTTTAAGGTTAAGCAGCATTTTCATTCACTAAAGCAAGAAAACTAAAGCAAGCATTGGTCGGTTTTTTTTTATTGAAATTAACTGTACTCCAAGTCTTCTTATTTGTCTGACTATTGTATTTAAATGGCTCTAAAGGTAGCAAATATGGTTGAAATTGGCATAGGTGAAGCCCCGTAGATAGCTAGCAGCTAAAGCTACTGCTGAAGAAGCCAAACCCTGCTAATTCAAAACACTGAGCCTTGATCTATTAGATGGTATTAAAGATGGATGCAATTTCTGTGACAGGTTTTAGTCGGGAAGTCCGGTTTTAAAGATGACCATTTTTTTATTATTGCTGTCTTGATAAGAGACTGTGAACCTGCATCCTCACCAGCTAACAATTTGTCCGTCACAGCTAAATGGTAAATGGAAATGTAGCGCTTTTCTACTCTAGTATATTCAAGACGCTTTATACCTCATTTACAACTATTCATAGGAGCACTTTTTTCTGTTCTAAGTGTCTTTATCTAACATTCGCGCACACACTAACTTCAGTATCTTGCCCAAGAAACTTTGGCATGGATCAGGGATCAAACCACCAACCTTCTGATTCGTAGATGCTCTACTTCTTGAGCTAGGGAAGTCTACTTTTCTGAAATGCAAAATGACAAAAAAAATACACAAAATCAACTTAATAGTTTAATTAGTAAAACTGAATGGGTCACCAGGAAAGAGTTTACTGAAATCAAGTTTGAGGGCCAAAGTGTTTTTTGCAACCACCGCTATCATCTGTTGGTGGCTATTAAAAAGAATGCAGGTTAAGGCACTTACTTGTTTTAAATATATTTTTTATTATTTGTGGATATAATTACCAAAAAGAACCAAAACTGTTATAAAAAGGGAGTAAATCGGCCATTTACGAAACCACAGTTTCCATCACTTCCTCTTCAGATTGATTTCTGTTTTTCTTTATCCAGTCCTGGAGCTTGCTGCTTGGAATTTACATGGTGACTAATGAGGTTCAGCGGTGAAGACTAGTAGATTTTCTTACTTTTTTACGAGAACTAGCTGGCTCCAGCTTCATATTGGACAGACAGGACAGTGGCATGTTTGTGCCCAGTTTAAACATTTCTTTAGGTTTGGTCTTAACCGGCTGTATCAATATAACAATTGACAGTGATTTGTAATCATTTGTCTTTAGGGTTAACTATGAAGGCTATATTGGATATAAAGTGTGCTGTTACTGCAAATAACAACACACTTTATACTTTGCTCACTGTCTTTATGGGGAAACATCTGAGGTAATATTAGTAAAAGTAAACATTAACAATAAACCACTTGGCACTCACTGGTTAATTATATCTAAACAGTAGAAAGAGACGGTGAAGGATAAGGTCGTGGGGGGAGTATCTTGTTCACACATGCCTCCTCCCTCCTTCTCTCCTCCCTCTTTATCTTTCCTCCCTCTGTGCTTCAGCAGCATTACCAGTCGTGGTGACTGGGAGGAGAGGAGCAAAGCATGCAGCAGCCAGTCAGTCATTTATAGTTCATTGTTTTCATCACTGCATTGTACCACTCAAAGAATTTGTTCTTCTTTTGTGGGACGTGGTCGTTGGGGGAAGAGACGTTTTCCTCTCTCTCTGGTGAATTGTTCATTTTTAAAGGGCGATTCAGTTTTTCTAACTCTATTTTTGTGCTGCTTGCACGATATTATGATCGTCCCACTTTGGCTGCAGTTGAATGCGAGTCTTGGAGTGGTTTAGACTGGCTAGCTTTGGTGCTTTTCCTGCCAGATTTATGAAAGGAGAGAGGTCAGTATGAAATTTGACTTCAGTGGAACTCAAAAGTGGGAGGAACCTCAGAGGATGGTTTGACTTGGAGGAAGGCGATCTTCTCTTGTGGAGTGGCATCTTTTCTACTGCGAAGAGCGAGAAGTCTTCATTATACAGGGGCAAAGGAAGACAAAAACCTCAAGTTTTTGGGTTTGAGAGCTTTAAATTCATAGACCAGAAGAAACTGGGCATCATCGGGAAAACGCACAAATCACGTTTTGGCTTCATCTCATCGTTATACCATGGCAGGGATGTACGGATGCTTTAAGGGTCGCAAGTAAGTTTCAGTTGTAAAATATTACCTGAAGATTGCAACACCTTGTTCTTGCATCACACGAGGAAAGAAAAAAAAACAAAAAACTGGATTGCTCACAGATATTGCTTCATCAAACTGCTCACTCAGGTCATCAACACAGTCTCTGCAAACCTGTGTCACAGGATATGGGTGGTGTCGGCCCTTTTCACGGGATTTGTCATTTTCAGTGTAAAACTCTATCATAATGCAGACCGCTGACTGCTGCTAGTACCACAAAATGTGTTTTCTTTGTTGCGCTCCACTCATTTTTTGCTTTCCACGGTATGACTACAAGTGCATGCAGCAAGAAAAATAAAAACTCTTAGAGTGCACTGACCTGCATTTGTATCCTGCACACTGTCTTTTAATGCAGTGGTCAAATCGGTCTGTATTCTTTTTGTCACCACAGTTAGTGACTCGCTTGGGAACAAACGGTCAACTGAGTAACTCGCAAGACGGGTTTTGACTGGAAGTCAGTGATTAGTCCGTAAATCTGAGTCAAACTCGCTTTTGTCATGTGTGCTGTAAACTACAATCAGGTGGATGAGCATGATTTCCTGTATGTTTTCCTGGAACAGGATCAGTTCATGTTGTTGCTCATTAAGGTTTGATGCTGCATAGCTGTGGCCGTGTTAAGAGTTTTTTCCTCATTTAAATTTGGATGCATGTTTCTGTTCTTGCTGATTGAAGTCCTCTGTGATTTTAATGCTTTGAATTGGCTAAATATAGGACACTGGGCTTGGCAGTGTGATTGGACCACAGAGGCTCAGCATAATGAGTGCCTTTAGCTTTTTGACTACAGTAAAGTGTCTTTTTTTGTAACAGAGCTGTGTAGATGTGGTGCTGGTTACACTGATACCCCCTTCAACTTTCTTTGTCTTTGTCCTCCCAGCCTCATGACAGTTGAACAGTGAAAGCTTTTACAGCCGCCTGAGTGGAGCTTGAACAAATAGTGTGTGTGTGTGTGTGTGTGTGTGTGTGTGTGTGTGTGTGTCACACACATACAACACTGAGCAAAAATCTTGAGTCTCTCCTCTTTTCTTGTTTTGCCAGGAAAATGGGAAATGAGTGCATCCAGCTTGATGAAAGGTGTGTAAACATCAGAGGTGGCAAAAGCATCCTGTAATTAAGTAGAAGTACAGATTCAACTTCATGTAAAAGTAAAAAGCACAGGCTCTGAAACGTACTCAAAGAAAGTAAAGGTAGCTCCTCGAAGAACGTTTCTACCTCTTATTTTTATGAAAAGCAAACTGAACCTTGGGCTATATTAAATTATTAAATAAAATAAGTAGATGGGAAACTAACTTTATTTCAGTCTAAATTGTCACTCAGGTAAGTAGAACATGAGCAGGGAGAAAGAAGGGAAACGGAACAAAAAGCTCTATTTTCTGTTGTCTCCATTGTAGAGGGTGACTTTGCCTCTCAACATGAAAATGTGTAGGGAAGAGTTTACAGTGGATTCAGCAGGTGGAGGAACCCTAAAATCAATTGTACTGGCTCAGTATGGGGAGCCATTAGATTCTCATGTACAGGCTGTGGTCAGCTGACCTGCTGCTACTGCTGCGCTGAGTTTTACTTATCTTTGTGTCAAAAGCTGTTTCATGAGTTGTCCTGGCTGATTTCCATCTGATTTCCACCCTCTACACCAGAGGCGTCAAACTCCAGGCCTCGAGGGCAGGAGTCCTGCAGGTTTTAGATCTCACCCTGGGTCAACACACCTGGATCAAATGATTAGTTCATTACCAGGCCTCTGGAGAACTGCAAGACATTTTGAGGAGCTCATTTAGCCATTTGAATCAGCTGTGCCCTTGAGGCCTGGAGTTCCCACCCCTGTTCTAGATGGGTTCATATGAAGGTGGAATTCAGTAAATGAATCTAAGGATCATCAGTTTAACTTCAAATTCATCTCTGCAACCCTTTTATGTAACCTAACTCTGACCATCAGCACTACAGCCTCTGTGCATCACTCACATGCTTTAAATCCATCACAGTACAGCAAAGTAACCTGTTTATCCTGTACTAAACAGTGTTTTCATGCAAACTTCAAATAACACAGTCTACCTCAGTTTGTTTTTTAGCAGGTAAAAACTGGTCAGAAAAATGACTACTCAAGTGAAGTGAAGTAACGAAGTAGGAATACTTTGTTACTTCCCGCCTCGGGTAAACTACATGTAACAACAGTCTAAAAGGCAAAAACAGTGTTTGTGCAATTTTAACAAGCTTGCCGATATTTAGTCTGGGTACCTTTTTTTATTCTTCAACAACCTGAACTCTCTTAGGCAAAGTTTCTTGTTATTTCTTTAAGTAGTCTTTGAAAATAGTTCTCCAGGCTTCTTGAAGGACATTTAAAGCTCTTCTTTGGATGTTTCTGCCTTTTTGTTCTGTTCTTTGCTAACATGATGCCACGCTGCTTCAATAATGTTGAGGTCTGGGCTCTGGGGAGAAGCTTTTTTGCTGTCAGGTATGCTTTCACTCCCTTGGCCGTGTGTTTGGAGTTCTTGTCATGTTGAAAACTGAAACAGTTGCCAATCAGACACTTTCTAGGTTGTATTACAGGATGATTAAATATTTTCTGTTTATAATCCCATCAATATCGCCACCACTGGCTGAACCACCAAACCATGACAGAGGCTCTATTGTGTTGTACAGATGACTGTAGATACTCACTTTGTCTCTCTTCTGACCTCCTTCATCCATATTGATGAATTTGTAGCTTTTCTTAAAGATCACTTACAACTTAGAAATGGGGAAAAATGAGAAAAGACTTTTGTACTATATTTTATTCAAGTGCATTTTGGCAGAATGCACTAAATTAAGGCTGAGCCTGCATTTAAATTGAAGTCATGAGATTATTATTTCAGTCAGGGCAAATTGAAGCATTTGGTATTTAAGTGGCTACAACAGCATTATAGTTGGAGTACTATTGGATGCCCTGTATATTTTAAACCTTTTAAATGTTTCCGACTTCTATGGGCTTTCAGCTCCCCCGCTGACCCCAGTAGGCACCCCCGTCCTTTGGCACCCACCAAGGCAAGGGAGCCCAGGCCCATCCAGACCGGGGCCTACGGCAGCAGGACCGCCCAGCCCCCACAGGACCTGGGACAGCCCACCTGACCCCACTGCAGAGGAAACTTTACCCTAACATTCAATCATCTCCCAGACTGCACAAGACAGTAGACACCCAGGTTAAGTTTATTCTCCACCTCTCCTGTGACTCTCTCCCACCTGCAGAGTGGACTCCTGCAAGGATGGAACAAACTCCCTGTCAGTTGAAGAGCCCCCTAGTTAGGCCGATGCACCAGTGGCCCCCTGCACCAGGGCTGAGCCCCTGTGCCCCCACCCGCCCACAACCTCGGCGACACACCAACAAGGACCTAAGCCCCCAAGGCCCAGCCAGAGCCCTAGCACGGAGGCGAAGCACCCTGTCTGTCAAACCAGAAACCTTTTTGTGGCTAATATATCTCTGCGGTTAGTAAGTGAAGCAAAGCTAATGTTTAAATCTCCCTAACCCAGATAGTTTTTTGTTTAAATCTGATGTCATTTTCCAGTTTGGCTCAGCAGTAGAGTAGAACTCCACAATAAAAGTATCAAAGCTGATGATAAGGTATATTCTCATTTTCCCACCAGTCCCCACTGGGATTTTCTGGTCCAAGACTGATTATGCAACTACTGCAGGTTGAGTTTGTATAGAAGAAATGGTGATGCAGCTGGAAATGAATGTAGACTGTGTAGAGTGACTGAAAGTGTTTGGTCAGTTGCTGTCTTGAGTCCATGTAAGGCTTGTTGCTAAGAGCACTGACAGATGAGGAAAGGAGATGGAGGAGAGAATGTGGCAAAGAAAACGAGAGCCGGATGTTGACAGGAACCTCCAAATGCAAAGGAGTGATTTCTCAATTTGAACCAAACCTCAGGGTGAAAAACATTTTGCAGTTTGTTGTTTAAAAGTTTTTTTTTGTTTTTTTTTTGTTGTTTTTTTTTAAGTCTGAACCACTCAAACTCCAAGTTACATAAAATCAATATCCCTACATTTTATGCACCAGCCTTTAATTTGGTAACTTTCAGAGTTATGAAGTGACCTGGATGTGATCGCAGGTCCAGTTTATTTATTTTTTTTTACAAAGACTTGTGTTGCAGTTGTGGCAGTAGCAAAGCAGGGACGAGCATATATGTTCTGTAGCAATAAATAACTGATCAACATTCAGCTGCCTTTTAGTGCCTGGTGAATGGATTCAAACACCAATGTCTTGTCACCAGTGTTTATTTTGTGCTTGATCACTTTGTTTCAGATGAATGCAATTTTGGAATAAAAAGCTAAGCTGTCTTCTGACTTATCTGGGACTCTGAATTGCTTTGCAACAAGCAGTGTCTCGTTTTATTTCAGTCATTTCAAATGAAACCACATTTTGTAACTGCCACTTCATACTTCATCTGCACTGTCTCCCAGTAGCTTATTTTTCAGGCTCTATGTTTACATAAACTGAAGGCTTGGGAATATCAGACATTATGTTGGTGCTCCTCTGTGATATGAGCACGCAGAGCAGTGCAGCATCATATTGAGTGTTAAAGGTCATTGTAGTTCGACGGCTTCTTATAATGATTGATGGGATTAAATCGTGACTACTTGAATACTAAATGCATTGCTGGGAATTTCAAGGTTTGTGTTTGGGGGCAGATAAAGTTAGACAGACTGTTTTCATTATCTTTAATAGGGTTTCCCACTGACAACCAAGCAACAGCAATATTTTTTATTTTATTTTTTTTTGTCTATTTTGTGCTGGAGACCAGTCAAGATACTATTTAAAACTGTTATTTTCTTAGTAGCTGACAGGCTAATACACGGCGATATCAGCGTGTTAGCACTGGCTAGCTAATGTGGCATGGATTTCCAGTATTAAACAGCACTGTAACCTGAGACCATATGCATAGAGGTGTTGCAGTATACTGGTTTTGAACTTGATGAATAGTAAATGGTACACCACTAT